TCAGCTACTTCTTCATTAGCAATTACAGTGAAGTCTTCTTCCTTCACTTTATTGGCAGTTTCATCCTTTTCTCTTTGATTCTTTATTGCCTCGGGTTTTTTGATAAGGATATAGTTCTTCAATTTCATTTGGACCAAATTATGTCTTCCAAAAAAAGCTTGTCTCAGTGAGAGTGAATACCTGACCTTTTGAGCTAGACAATGATTCATCAAACATCATAAAATCCTAGGTGCTAGAATATTTTAGTTAGAAGAATTTAGTATATGATGTGTTGTATCTCTTCTTCCTCATGAGGTTCCTTTTTATATTCATTATCACCAAATGTGATAGGTTAAAAGCCTTACCCTATTGCAAAATGGAACAACACAAATTAATGGATGCTTGAGATGGTGGTCTTTGAGCCAATTTATTTGGAATAACCCTAACATCTACTAGAAAACCTTAATCCTATCATATATGTAATTCAAGTTGTATTCTAGTGCACCAAGTTGCAAAAGAATCTCATTCATGCCCTTGGGTCCACCAAACTCATGTTCCTAGTTTGTGCTAAGCTAGTTACCTTCCTCTAGACACCGAGTGAATGTGGAAACCGAATCTATCTTAATGTCTTTGTCAAGAACTTTTTCATATATAACACCAATTTCAAAAGGTACATTCTTCCAAAAGTCACGAATAAGTTATGGATGAAAAAGTTCACCACTATCAAAGAAATTGGTGATGCCAAATGTTTTGAGATCATCTTGGAGGTTCGCATCTATACAAGTCATGGGTTATAGGACAATCTTGTTTTCCAAGTACTCATTGGCAGTTCCTAGATTAATACTCTAAACTATGTAGCTCTCAAAGCATTCAAAACATCATGCTTTGTGAAAATAATCTTTCTTTTTGTAGATCTTCATTAGCATTATTGAGGTTATGTTTAAAGGTTTAAGGTTTTGATAAACTCTTGGATATTTTGTTGTCATCAATTTGATTTATGTGAGAGGGAGAGAGATATAGGTTTACTCTATATGAAATTATTGAAAAAATTGAAATCTAAAAAGATTTTTCCTTTTAAGTAAAAATTGACAATCAATTCAAAAGCAACTTAGTTCTCAAAATGTTTAGACTCAATGAGGGAAACTTAAACTTTTAAATGACATGGAACACAAGAAATCAAACATTGAATGCTACATACATTGGACTCTACATGTGCACTAGACCATAGTAGTCAATCCCGGATAGCGGAGCGGAGCGGTCGACCCTAAAACTGGGATAGCGGGATGACGCGGAGCGGGATAACCGCTATTTTAATATTAATTTATATATATTAAATAATTAATAATATATATATATATATATAAAAGCTAAAAAAACAAAAAATAACTTTAAGTTCATGCATTAAACATTTTTAATAATTAAAAGTTCATAGTGAAGTAAACAAAATAAAAAAATTAAGAAAACAAAATATTTAAAGTCTTATATTAAATTTTTTATTACTTAAAATATTATCTGAATTAATAATAAAGAGAAGTTACTTTCTAAAAAAAATAGTGAAGTAAAAGGCCCTTAATCAAATCAAAAGATAAAATAAAACTTGGCCCATTTGGCCCATTTGGCCCATTTGGCCTAACCCTAATTATTTTTCCACCTTCCTTCTAATTGTGAGACTCAAGCAGCCGTCACCAGTTACCACTCCTCTTAGAAGAAGACAAGACTGTAGATGCTGGAGTAGACAGAGCCACCATCGGAGAAGACAGCGCCGCTGTCGGAGAAGACAGAGCCGCTGTCAGAGAAGACAGCGCCGCTGTCGGAGAAGACAGATCGACGAAGATCCGCCAAAAAAAGAAGAGAAGTTCCGTCGCCCACCCGCGATCGCGCCGCCACGCTCCGCCGCTTTCGCGGCCGCTCCGACCGCTCCTTCAAAACGCTCCGCAACAAACTTTTTGAAGTGGCACGGAGCCGCTCCGCTCCGACGCGCCGCGATTGCGGCCGCGACAACCGCTATTGACTACTATGCACTAGACATCTAGTCATTGGACATTTTAGTGACACTAGATGCCTAATATATAAAGATAAATCATACTTTTATAAAAGCCAATCCTATTTTTCTCTAAGAAAATAGAACTTAGCTTCAACAAGGGATTTTATAAATATATTTGCAAGCTAATTTTTTTGTATATATAAATTGAGGTAAATTACTCTATTTTGAACATAATCCCATATAAAGTGATGTTTAATCTCAGTATGCTTAACTTTAGAATGCAATATAGGATTATTATAAAGATTAATTGAAACAATATTATCATGGAGTATCATAATGTTACTCTTATAGATGTTATAATCTTTAAGTTGATGTTTGATCCATAAGAGTTAAGAGTAACATCTGACAATAAAGATGTATTCTACTTTATATGTAGACATGGTTGATGTCCCTTGTTCTTGCTAGTCCATGATAATAGTTTGGCTATAATGAAACAACATACTTCACTAATGCACTTCCTTTCAATTTTATATCTAACATAATTAGTATAATAACCAACTGATATGTGTTATTTAGATTTCTTAAACATCTAATCCAGATTAGTTGTGCCTTTAAAATACCTAAATATTCTCTTAAATATAATTGAGTCTCTTTAAGATCAAATTAAAAATGAGCACAAAGGTAAACATTGAACACATTATCAAACTTGAACACTATTAAATATAGTATTTATTATTATTATTATAAGAAAATCCTAATTTAACTAGATATTGCACCTTAAATCAAATGACTAAGATGAACCTATACACACCAACCATTAATGGATTCTTCAAGAAGATGAATGGCCAAGCAAAAGCATACATGAAAAGTGAGAGAAGAAAATGAGTCAAATTTATTGGGTAACCCAAGACGATCCAAATTGACATGAATTAAGCCAAGTTAGGTCCAAAATAAAAATTTCAAAGAACCCAACCTGATTGAACTGAGATGTTCCACCCAATTTGGTTCCTATTTCTCTTCGAACCCAATCCGATCTGCGTTCGCCTTATTGCTCAAGCCAAGATAAATCACTATAGGTGATAAAATAAAAAATAAAAACATACAAAAATATTTTATTAATTCAAACAAATAAATATCTTATATTTTAAGAGAAAAAGATGAAATCTAAATAAATTAAGAAAAATAATTTTATAATATAGGGAATTGATATTTGTAAAAATAACAGAAAAGAAAGGAAATTTAATATAATAAAATTAAAAGAAATTAATTATTGAGATTTGAGGAAAAAAATATTAGCATAAATGTTTTTTAGTAATTAGTAATTTGAAAATTTTAAAAATAAATAAATAACGGTGAATAATGTGAAAAGGAAAAAGGAAAATAATAAAAGATATTCTTATATTTAAGAGTGAAAGTTTAAATTTGTAAATAAAAGTTGATATTGAAAAAAAAACTATTTTTGTAAATTTTAAAAATCTTAACATGCACCATTTTTTATTTCAATAAATAAGATGCTATATATATTTAATTAGTCGGATGATGCCTTTTCAAATCCAAACCAATCTTATATTTCTGATATGAGATTTTATTAGTTTTACAAAATATGAAATTTACACAATTCATTGAATGTCTTGCTCTATACTCAATTTGCTAATTTTCACTCTCGTTTATTTGCAAATTAATGCTTATAATTTTTTTTACTAATTAGTATATAATTTATTTTATGCAGACAATAATGAGAAGAATTAATAGTAATTCTTTTAATTACTAATATGTAATTGTTGTTATTATTATTTTAATCTAATAATACAATATTGAAAGTAACTATACATAGATGATAAAAAAATGTAATTATACAACATTTATGATTAGCGCATTACTGGAAATATGCAATTACATACTATAAATAATTTACAACATATAATAGTTGTTTATTAGTTATACATGCAAAATTGAACAAAATTCTTTTGAAAGTTTAAAATTAGATATAGAATATTTCAAAATCCAATTAAATAGGGTTACATATAACACACATTAAGATATCTAAGATACTACAATAAATTTAAGATTATTTCATAGCTAGATATCTTTTGTCCACATATCCCTTGTTTTAACATATAAAACATCTCCAAAATAATAACTAGAATCATTACAAATATAAAAAGGCACATTAATAAATCTTGAAACAAACTATTTTAAAGAACATATAGGGCTTAATCAAAGGGACCAATATAGAAATACTAAAAGCATATAGTATAATAAGTTTCATTGTATAGTATAATTGAATTTTTATTTTTTTTTTCATTTGGTCTAAAACTAGATGAGAATCAACAAGAAGCAAGAACAAAGAAACTACTTGGGTGGACCAAACAAATGGTGGAGCCTCGTGCCCAAGTTTAGCTTCCATGATCTGGTACGTGTCAAAATTGCATTCCACCAAATTAAATGAGGGTTTGATAATACAAATCTAACGTCATGCATCCACAGGGTCCAAGGTTCATTTATTAGCTTGAAACCATTAAAAGTTAGAGACCCATTTCGAGCAAAAATAAATAATAAAAAAATATATAAATAAATTAGAGAATGAATACAAAAAACATTATGCCATTATGGCCATTCTTTAATTCCCGTGATAATTATATTACCCAAAAACCGAAAGAGGATGAATAAATCAATAAATGAATTAAATTAAGAAATTACCGGATTAAGGCACCAAAATTTGTCTACTACTATTCTCTGCATTAAATGCTCCCATTACTTACATGCCACCCTTTTCTTGAATTCTCTTCCCACTCCTCCACTACCCCATTAATTAATACCCCTCCACATTAAATGAAACAATTAATCGAAATTTAATCAAATTCATTCATTTTAAAATTCAAAACCAGGATACTAACAAAACCAGAAAACTCTATTTAATGGAATTTAATTAAATTCAATGACATGTAGTATTTCAATTTTAATTAAATTTTTTTTGGGTCTTTTAATTTTACTGTAACGTACCATCATCTATCTTTATTGGCATATATAAATCTCTCACAGTCACACACATGAAGGAACACATACACACCTCTTTGGTCTCATCTCGTTTTCTCTCTCTAGATTTTCTCTGTTTCTCTCTCTAGAGCCTCCGTGAGGTCGCGCACAGCAATGGCTGCTGAGGTTAGCGCTCTGATTCGCGTCATGGGGGGTGGCTACAAGGAGGAGCAGCATCGGACGGTGGGGAATGAATCACACGGTGAGAATTCAACGGCCCCGATTACAATGGACCTTCTCGGTGGGTCCTCGATTGAATCCCAGGAATTGGACCTCGATTTGCAGGTTCCTTCTGGCTTCGAAAAGCGCCTCGACCTTCAGGTTTGTTCATTTTTTTCTTGTTCTTTTTTTTTTTTTTTCCTTTTATTTTCCGGTAAAAATAATAATTTTTTATTTTTTTTATTTTGTTTTGTTATTTTTTCTTAGTAAAGTCCACCGTGATGATTTGATTCTTTTCTGGGAATCGGAAATTCTCTTCGTTTTTTTTAATGAAAAATTAACCTCGGAATGAAATCATTGTACTTTGTAGTGTTTTCTTGGTTTGCTTTTTCAGAATCTGTTTTTTCTTTCGTTTTTTTATGTACTGGTGCAAAATTCTTCTATTGGGGTTATTTTTTTTACATGATTGTGATTATTTATAAACAAGATAGATTCTGTTGTTCGTTGGAATGTCCGATTTGGGACTTCTGCGATTTGCTTTCGCGGTTTGTGATTGAGTGATGAGAAACAGGGGATACAAAGAATCGTGATTTAGAAAAAAGAAGGAAAAAAAATTAAAATTCTTTTCATTTTTATTTTTTTTATTTTTTTAGAGGTGATTTTGTGTTATTTTCTTTAAAACTTTTGCTTTTTAATGTAACAGCAAGCCTTCTATTACCCAATTTTCGTTGCTTTTGTACCTTTGTATTTATTTCTCATAAAGCCGAGTTTAAAGGATTCAGATTTCTGGTATTCAAGCTTTATATGGCTTCTATGTTGTCATGTTTTGTGAGGTTCTCTCCCATGGCTTGATGCCCCTCATAACAAATTTCATTCTTTGGTATCACTTTAAATTAATTTTCTCTGTTTTTCCCATCTTGTATCAATTCATTGCATCTGTGTGAATTTCGTTAGTTATTATTGATCTCATAGTTTGATTCACTAATTCCCATATTTCTATCTAATCAGATCATACCCAGAATAATTTTCTCATGGGTCAAATGTTTTTACTCTCCTTAAGTTTAATTAAAATATTGGATAGTAATTACAATGAGAACAAACTATGCATACTATTTCATCTTTCAAGCCGACCCAAATGGTTGATTTTCCTTTTTAGCAATTCAAATGACAAATAATCATATTTAAAATATACAACTGAAAATTGCCTTAAAAAAATGTTTTACTTTTTTTTTTTTTTATTAATTTTTTATGGATGTATAGTGATGGTGTTTTGGTTGGTGAACATTGTTTATGATTTTGCAGTCAGGGAAAGTGTATCTTCAAAAGTGCAACGCATTAGGGTCACCACAACCTCTTTCTGAGCACAAACTTAATGCAAAGGCATCACTAGGAGGTCCAAAGCTGCAAGACCTAAATTTCCCATCTTCACCCTCCAATGTGCTATTGAACCTCTTTGATGAATCAAGCTTGGACCTGAAATTGGTGTCATCTTCATTGCCCTCAAGCAACTACCAAAGTGTGTGCACCCTTGACAAGGTGAAATCAGCACTAGAGAGGGCAGAGAAGGAGCCAATTAGGAAGAGAACATCATTTTTGAAGTCACCACTCTCAGCATCATCACCCTCATACTCATCTTCCTCATCCTCAATCAGAGAAACAACCCTAGAAGAAGAAATTGAGGACAAGATGGTTGCATCATCACCTATGGCTGCAGGGTGCCCTGGATGCTTATCCTATGTTATGATCATGAAGAATAATCCCAAGTGTCCTAGGTGTAACTCCCTTGTTCCTATTCCCTCCATGAAGAAACCTAGGATTGATCTTAATATATCAATTTAAGTGGTTGAGGATAATTGGTAATTGGTAATTGCCTCCATTTTCAATATAATTTGTTATTTTTTTTTAAGGTTTTTTGTAAATGGAATGATAGATAAATTTAGGTCGTTTAAGGATAGGATCATTTGTTTGGCCAGGGTTTATGAATGTATATTGAAAAGTCACTGCCGTTTTACTAGGAAAGTTAATAGAAAATTCTCAATTTCTGCAATTTCTCTTTTGCCTCTATTTTTTTTTTTCTTCTTCCTAATGGGTGTTAATGTTCTTCACTACCCTTGATTATTCCTTAGCAAAATTGCAATCAATATTTTTTTAATAATGATTTTGCTAATTAAATTTGTACCAATTTAATTAATGTATTTTTGTGATCAGAATTGAATAAATGTATTCAATATATACTAAATGTGCATAGCTGGATTCAAAGGTACTACTAAGATCATTTATGTGCATCTCATCAATGTAAACCTTAATTATTTTTAAATGGTATTTAATTTAAATAAAATATTATGGTAGTGCTTTATGAAGAGTAGAAAAAAAAATTATTATTATTTTGGGCCAATTCTGACTGCAGATATAAAAGAATTTCAAAACGTGGCTTTGGCTAGACAGAGTCGTAATGCTTTGAATAATGAATAAAACTTTTCCTCATTTGATAGCAATAATGAATAAACGTTATGGGGTTTGGTATCACGATAGACATGAGTTAAATAATAGCATTTCAATTTTTTTTTTTATCGAGGAACATTTAAATTTAATTCATTATAGTATTAAATATCTGCATTCATTGAAACGTGATTTTTTCTTGGTATATTAAACGTGAAAGTTTTAAATGTTATTAAATTATAACTATTTTAATAACATTAAAGAATATTCAATACTTTTAAGTATTTATTAATTTCCTAAAAAGATGATAATACTAATTTAATAAATGCATTGCTTGTATTTATTTTTCCATTTTAATAGTGGTAATCCGGAGATATTTCTTATCATTCTTTGGTAAATTTTCAAAAATTATTTTGAATTTACAAATTCAAAATTGCGAATCTTATTAAATATTTTAATAAATAAAAATGACAAATTTGTAACTTAGTGGTGGATCCCATCATTAATAAAGCTAAAATGTCAGAATGTGAATAGTTGAGTATAATCTTGTGTTACACTCAGTGGGTACAATTTCTCTTCATTCACAGGTGTCAAAAAATAATTGGACCAACCTTCGAGGATTTTATGAGTATATATTGAGAAATAAAATAAAATAGATCATGTTTAAGTCAGTATACATGAATTAAGAAATGTAATTTAAAATTTTATTTTTATTAACATTTTTATTATAATTTTTACTTGTATTTTTTCATCTTACCTGATAAGTCTTCTGAATGTTTTTATTCGTCTCTAAATATTTACTGTTTTAAAAAATATTAACATTTTTTATACAACAATGTTCATATTAATTAGTTTCTCACTTAAAATATATGACTACATTTAATTATTTTAATAACAATTTATAAAAAAAGGTCTATATTATTGTAATTTGTATAATTAATATTTTACTTAATAAATATGCATTATTTTAAAATATAAATAACATGGGACGGGAATAATAAGATTAAAACAAAATTCTAAAAGTTCACCATAAAAAAGATGAAAGTATGTTTATTATTTATTTAATCATTCAGAGAAAGATGTGAATCAACTCATTGTTAAATAATATTATATAATTATATTTATAATATTTTAAAATTATACAATTATTTATTTATTCAAGATAACATATATTATAATTTTCATTAATATATTAAATGATATATTTATTATTACTAAATAAATAAAATTTATATATTATTATTTTTATAATATTACTAATAAATTAATATCAATAATATTATTAGTATATTTATAGATAAATTAATAACTCGATTAATATAACTTATTATATATTAATATACGTTTACAAAAATATAAGTATATTAATTAAAAATATACACATCTTATCTAATATATTTATATTTTTGTAAAAGTATATTAATATATACTGAGTTATATTTATCAAATTATTAGTTTATCTATAAATATACTAAAAATATTATTGATATTAATTTATCAGTAATATTAAAATTTAAGTAAATAATTATATAATTTTTAAATATTATATATATATATATATATATTAAAATTTCAAAATTATTAAATTTTTAATAGGAGAGATTAAAATCACACAATTATGATATTTGAGGGACTAAAATTGTTCAATTAAAAATTGAAGGATTAAAATTGCACAATTTCAATTCTTTAAGGACTAAAATTACCCAATTAAAACCTTAGGGATCAAAATTGTATAATTACAATACTTGAGGGATCAAAAATGCAATTAAGTTTTTTTATTTTAAATAATAACAGTACTTCCTCTAATTCATAACATGCCTCGTCATAATTTTTTTATAAACTAAAAAAAATTAATCAATGAAAAAATATGATAATTATACAAAATTGACTTTATTATTAATTTTTTATCAGTTTTTTTTTATCAAAAACAATACAACACAAGGCTTTGTTAATTTATTATTAACGATAAAAAAAATAAGAAAAAACTAATATTATTTTAAAAACTTAAAATAAAATTTATTTTATGACACAAATGAGATATTTATTATTATTATGATTATTATTATTATTATTATTATTTTCTTATTATAGAATTTAGAAGGACATCGGTTGGACTATTAGAATTGACTTGAAGTCTTATATTTAAACTTTAATACTACTGGTGTAATTTTGATTATTAAAAATTATGCACCCAAAAAAATTTTATTTACTGCAGTAACTAAAAAAATCTTGGAAACATTAATATGATTCTTGAAAAATAAGTGTCATAAATAGGTCTTTAAATGGAATTGATTTGGTGCCGCCGGTTAATTACTTCTTGGAATATGTTAATGGTCAAACAAATATTTAATGTCTAAATCAATGCAACAATCTTTTGATAATTAAATTGATATATAAATCTCTTAATAATTTAATGAGAGAAAATATTTTTAATTATTGTAAGATGAGCGAGTTTTATTTGTTTTCTGTAATTTTTATTTTTTAAAATTTTGTAAATATTAATTTTTATAAAATATTTTTGATTCTTGTAACATAAATATATTTTTTTATTTTGGTCTTTATAAAATATTATTTTTGATTTTTATCTCATTAGAATCTAAAGCTACTATTTTAGTGCCTAAATTAACTAATTTAAAGAATATAAATAATATTACTTTTATTCTTATATAAAACTCAATTAACTAATTTATTAAGATTAAAAAAAGTATTTAATTTATTTGATAAAAATAAATTTATTCAATTTATGTATTTTTTTTAAATTATTCTTATACTGTACTACTTTTCTTTGTTAATTAATACTCATATTTTCTAATCAATTATAATATATGTTATATACTATTTCTCTTTCCTTATTAATACACATATTTCTCTTAACTAATTAGAGTGTACACTTTTTAAAGAGTTTATATTTAATGTATTTTATAAAATTAAGAAAACACTCTAATTATAGATATTTTAGTCTAAATATAATTATTATGTGAGATAATATGAATTGAGTCTTATATAAAAGAAAGAAATGAAGGTAGTATTTATTTCAAGGACCCATAAAAAAATTAGGAGTATCACATACTAACATTGTGTCACCTTTCTACCTAAAAGATTTAATAATTAAAATACAATAAATTCCTCGAAAATATAACATATTATAATAATTCTTTTTATAAAACTTATAAAAGGGTTCGCATCTCTATCCATTACTCAAACCATATAAAGCATACAAGACATTGTTTTAATCAAAACTAAGAACAACCTCTTGAATCCATAAAACAAAATTAAATAGAAATTCAACTTGGAACAAGTACTAATCTTAAAACTTAGCTTTGATGTCACACTATCGTAGAAAAATCTCTCTTTATGATTTTCTTTCCTCAAGCCCATTATCACGTACCTGCTCTATTCTTACAAATGGTCTTCAGCCCAAACATAAACATACAAACACAAGAAGTAAGAATACATCTCACCTATAAAAGGATATGCAAGATATAAAGATAGACACATACAAATCAAAATAATAATCACATGTCATACACCTTTGTAATTCTTACATACAATAGTATTAACAGTTTAATATATTTCATTCCATCCACCACCAACATCCCATCAATAACAACACAATGTATTCATAAATTAAGACTAATGAAATGTGTGCTCCTAACTCTACATGCTTGTGGTACTAAATTCCTCATCATCTTCGAATGTATAAAATAGCCTATGAGCAATGGAACGGGACCACCCCATCGTATGGTGCAAGGGCCACCCATCAATAGGGATCCCTTCGAACCACCTCAACTAGGGGATGTATATTAGGGTCCTAGCAAAGTGTTACAACTAGCCATGGTATCCTCTTATTCTCAATAGAGATTTCTCCACCATAACACCCCCTAGGACATAGGTGGATGACCTATGATATCCTATTTGCATAGATTCACACTATCCTGCAAAAATAAAACATGAAATGTATAGACTCAAACAACAATTCAACCACACAAATGCATGAACTCATTAAATTTTCATAAGTTATCTCACCATAACATTCATCATAGTCTTTAAAGAGTATCTCAATATAATTATTTACTCAACATCATGAGATAATACAATAGATCACGTCAATCTTTATATTAATTTCATCTATTAGTAAACACTTACAACCCTTCCTCATGGTTCCTCATTCAACAAGAAATTCATAAAATAAAAAAATTTAAAAGAAATAGGCATGGAGCTTAGCGAGGTTTAATCCATGCCCGAAACAAAGAGACTAGGGGCCTCTACCAACCTCACACCTAATGTGAGATCACGTGCGCTTGGCACAATGAGGTCTAGGACCTCTCTATCTCAATATCCCTCGTTGTGGTTTAGGCCATGCCCGACATCAAGGAGTTAAGGACTCCTCTGGTACCTTCCCACCCGGCGTGGTATAGGCCATGCCTAGTGTCAACCTCATCGTGAATTTGACTTTAAATAATGTCTGGTACAACACCTCACACCTAATGTCAAGAGGTTTGAGACCTCTTTGACGACCTCACACCCGACATGGTCATTCTCATGTTCAATGCAATCGTAGAAACTGCACATTACAGCTTCATGATTGCACCTTGTTTTCTCCATCAT